TGTAATGAAGTCTAAGTTTGGTGATGTGGGTCTTAGCATAAGTGACTCTATTTGGGCCTATTGTCTTTAACAGCACATGCACACACAGACACACACACACAAGAACAAAACGAAAATAACCTATCTGAACCTGAGACTTAAAAGGAGAAAATTTCCATGTGGATCTGTTGATACCTTCTGCAGGAAAAAAAAAAAAAAAAAGAAAGATTTCCACTAGAACTATACTATAGGTTATGGGGGTGGAAAATCTTGAACCTACAGCCAGTCAGTTGGTCCACAAAGACAGAAAACTTAGTAGGAGCCGGCCAATGGTGGAGAAAACACAATGAAGGGGACAAGACAGACATGATCCCATCTTTGAGGAGCTCCTTATCTAGAGGACAGAGATACACAAATAAAATGGCAGATGATGATAGTGCTACAGAGAAATAATACAGGGTGTTTCCAGGAACATATTAGAGGCACACCCAACCTGGTGAGTGGGAGTAGCCTGGACAGCCTCCTGTTCAACAGTGCTGAGTGAGAACAGAGAGCATAGCTTGTCTACATTCCTGGCCTCCCCTCTACCATCCACCAATTACTCAAAGCTCAGAGAGAAGTTGGCAACTGTGGCTTAAAGGAAATGCTTGAATTTGAAGTCAAACCAGCTCTAGGCCCATCATCGTAAGTTCTAAGACCTCAAGCTTCCTCATCTCAGTTTCCTTGCTTATAAAATGGGAATAATAAAATATTTCCAAGATTCTAAGTGATTATAAGATGCCTATTAATTTAATAAAAAATTTTCAAGGACTGGGTAAGGAGAGGGAGAAATTTCTCTCAATTATAGGGACTTCCTGATTTCAGCCACATCAATATGTAAAAATATGCCCATCATAAGTTTGAGGAATTGTGGTGACCCAAGATTGTTTGTGAAGATTAAATGAGATTGGGGCGCCTGGGCAGCTCAGTGGGTTAAGCCTCTGCCTTTGGCTCAGGTCATGATCTCAGGGTCCTGGGATCGAGCTCCACATCAGGCTCTCTGCTCAGCGGGGAGGCTGCTTCTCCCTCTCTCTGCCTACTTGTGATTTCTGTCAAATAAATAAATAAAATCTTTGAAAAAAGAAGAAAAAAAGATTAAATGAGATTATATGTGAGACTATATTTCCACACTGTGCTATGAACTGAGCATCTGTGTCCCCCCCCCCCCACACACAATTCATGTATTCAAATTCTACTCTCAATGTGGTGGTGTTAGGAGGCAGGAACTTCAGGAGGTAATTTGGTCATGAGGGTGGAACCCTCATGAGTGGGATCAGTACCCTTATAAGAAAAGACATGATCGCTTGCTCTCCTCACTCCCCTTCCCCATCCATGTAAGGATACAAGATGAGAAGTCTGCAAATGAGTAAATGGTGTCAGCAGGTCTGCCAGTGCCTTGATCTTAGACCTGCCAGCCTTACTCACCTCACCCTCTGCATGGCCCCACCTTCAATAATATACAAGTGACTTGAAAAAAATGGATAGGACATTCAATCCTGGGATCAAATTTCTTCATGAGTCACTTTTATTAAGTATGATATATTGTTATTCATTACTAATATACAGAGTCTTTTAGAACCAAAGGGAAATTTAAAGTTCAATGAGTTCTTTCCTTAAATTTTATCACACAAAAAACTGAGAAACAAGACTTCTACCCCTATGGTATATGGCAAAGTTGGGACAGAAAGAGGGCTGGTTTTTTTTTTTTAAGATTTTATTTATTTATTTAACAGAGAGATCACAAGTAGGCAGACAGGCAGGCAGAGAGAGAGGGAGAAGGAGGTTCCCTGCTGAGCAGAGAACCCAGTGCAGGGCTCGATCCCAGGACCCTGAGATCATGACCTGAGCTGAAGGCAGAGGCTTACCCCATTGAGCCACCCAGGTGTCCCGGAAAGAGGGCTTTTTATAGGCAATGTTGACAACTGTTAGTAATTATGGTTCTATACAGTGAAATGCTGGATCTAGCTGGGTAACCTCAGCTCATATAAAGCAGCTGTAGAATACCAATCCCCCAAGTGAGCAATGCCTTAGCAACAGTGCAGCATGAGACTAAGCTGATAGGTTGTGGAACTGAGGTGGTGGTGGGGATGGAGGGCGTGTGAGAAATGCCGAGGTGTTCAACTCTGGTGTATTAGATGAGCTTCCTCCCCAAGGGAAACAAAATCATGCTCAGCCTGAGTGACAGGGTTATTGGAATTGTAGGTCCTCTGTAGAGGGAAAGATTTACATACCCCTCCAGCAGCCCTCCTAATGTCCCTAAGCAGTTTACCTTCATCTGAAAATGACAAAGAGTGGGCCTCAGGTTTATGACTGCTTGGGAAAGGGGGCTGTTTACATTGGAATTGTAAGAGGTTATTACTTTCTTTGCGGTCACCAGGAGGCTGGGCTGGGCTGCACCAAGCAATTGCAATGTGGAAATCACAAGAAATGCATCTTCAAGTGCATTCAGTCATAGACCCACCTATAACTCATGCCAGGCATCCACAACTTGATACTGTAGCCACTTTCCTGAAGGCTTATCAAAGCGTTGCAGGCAGGATCCAGCTCATTATGGCTTTATCTATAGAGGGTGGATTAGGACAGGCTTGTCACCGTCTCCCTCCTTGGGACTTGATACCTGGTTAAATAATTATTCTAAGCTCTCTGTAGCTGAAGGGAAGTCAAGTCAGGTCTCTTAACCTCTGTGGGGGCTCTATCTGGCAGGAGGCTGACCTGCCTGCGCTTCAACCTTAAGACAACCTGGGGCCAGGCCGCTCTGTGCAAAACCACTCGGAAGAGTCGCAGGATGTTAAAGCCGGAAGTAGGCGATACAATTTGTATTCAGGATTACTTCATTTAGTTCACATACATAATTTGACTTGTTTAACAGATGCAAGATCAGAGACTAAGCGTAAGCAAGTTGCTCAGTGTGGGGCGACAGGTCAGTAAAGGACCTGGCAGTCCCAAAGGTGGTGGCCACCCCTCTCCCCCAGTGGTCTACCTGTGAGGGATCCCTGTCCTTAGACACGGAGCCGGAGTCAGGGCTGCAGCCTTTTCCCGCTATACCCCGCCAGCCAGAGCAGCCCCCTCACAAGGTGACTAGCAGATGCCAAGTCTCCACGCCTTGCTCGGTGGCGCCTATCTTGTCTTTGTTTGGAGTAATGGAAAATCTGAGAACGGGGGAGGCGTGACTTCAATATTCATAACATTTTTAAACAAACGATTTCCTAATTTGTGTGTTTCATCCCTGGTGACTCTTCCGTAGGCAGAGCCTGCCGCGCCGCGAGCCCTTCCTTCTGCCTATCCCCACCCACCGAGCCCGCGGCCTCCCCCCATCATCCTTCCCTCCGCAGCTGAGAGAGAACAGCGGAGAGCAGACGAAACAGCTAGGGCCGCGGGTGGGAGGTTGTTCCCGGAGCTCGTGGCTGGCATGGAGATTTCCCCATTCATAAAATTAACACCTCTGCTCGCTGACTTCCCGCCGGCCCCAAACAGCCCCATCTGCCGCGGGCTAGGACTGGGTCCCGGGGGCTCTGTTCCAAGGGCCAAGGGGCCTAAACTGGCGCGTTTTCGCGTTTCTCCAGGGAGTCCCGTTTTAGAAATCCTATCTGGTGTCCTCAGTCTGTATGGAAGACTGGAATCGACCGCGGATGAGAACTCTGGTTTGAAACCAAGACAGAAAATGGCTTGTGGTTCCATCCGTAAATAAAACCTCACACTTTGACTTCAGGCTGTCCGACATTTTGTGACTTGCATTTTTTGCTCTATCGTAGATTCAGGAAGCGCCTGTCAAACCATGCCACCTATCCATTTGTAAACAACTGGCTTTTTAGGTCCCCTTCTACCCTTTTATGGTGGTGGGTGGGAGCGCGGGAGCAGGCACCGGAGAGGACGGCAGGGGCGGGGCGGGGCAGGGCGTTGCACTAATTCGAGATGCAATCTCCATCCAAATAATACATTAGTATTAACAATGATTCTCTCCACGAAACCCTTAAAATTGGCCCTTGACTCCCGTCTCAGCAAAAGGCGAGCCCTTATTCGCTGAGCTGACGCCTCCTCGGCTCCCCCCGCCCCCCACTACTCGCTGCTCTGGAAATTACAACTCCTCAGCACGCCGCGCAGGGAGGCGGCGGCGGCGGCGGGAGGGAGGCGGGGAGGGGATTCCCGAGCCAGCCGGGCACTCGCCCTCCGCCCGCCGGCTGCAGCGTCGCGCGGCCAAGGTCAGAGGCGCCGCAGGAGCGGCAGCAGCGAACCAAGGAAGCGGGTCAATCCTTGAGGAGGGGGAAAAAGCCCCAGGGCGCATTTGCGCCGGAGAGGGCGGCGAGCGAAGGTCCCCGAGCCGGCCGGGCTCCGCCGAGACAGTCGCTGGAGCGGCGACCCCGCACGCCAGGTGGCGGCCCCTCGGTCCGCGCGTCGGGAACCGGGGCTCCGCGGCCCGCTGTGGGCGCTGTCCGTCGCCTCGTGGTGCTGAACCCAGCCCCACGGCCGAGCGGCCTGCTCACCCGCCTTCTCGCCTACGGATCGCTCTGATTGGGGCGGGGCAGGGGCAAAAGGGAGCCCTTGAGCAGCTGCCCACTGGAGACGAGGGACTGAAACAGAACAGCTAGAAACGGCAGTCCGGCCACTGGTCCTGATGTGCAGAGGAGACGCGCGCTGCAGCCGGCGGCGGCGCTAGTGCTGATTCATCACCTAGAGCGCCTCACAGGCCATCGCGAGGGCAGCCGACTGGCTCTGGACTCTGGCCGCAGGTTGAAGCCGCTGGCGCAGGAGCCTCGCAGGCAGGAGGTGAGGACCCCCTCCCTTCTCTTGCCCCCAGTGGTCCTAGGGCGGTGGCCCCAGGACAGAGAGAGGGGCGTGCCCCGGGGCTGTGAAGTGGTCATGCCTGTGTAATGCCCTCGCTTGCAGTCTCTCCGGTGCCAACCACGCTTGGTCCCCTCCGCCTGTCTCTGGAGCTCGGGTCGTTCCACATCCCACCCTGAGCAGCTCGGTCTGCCCGCGCCGCGATGGAGGAGGAGCTGAAGTGCCCCGTTTGCGGCTCCCTGTTTCGGGAGCCCATCATCTTGCCCTGTTCCCACAACGTCTGCCTTCCGTGCGCTCGTACCATCGCTGTGCAGACACCGGACGGTGAGCAGCACCTGCCCCAGCCACTCCTGCACTCCCGGGGCTCGGGGCTCCCGGCCGGCGCCGCTGCGGCGCCCCCTCTGGACCACGACGCTGCGGCTGGCCCAGCCTGCGGCGGCGCGAGCGGGAGCGCAGCTGGCGGCCTGGGCGGCGGTGCGGGAGGTGGCGGGGACCACGCGGACAAGCTGAGCTTGTACAGTGAGACAGACAGTGGTTATGGTTCCTACACCCCGAGCCTCAAGTCCCCCAACGGCGTTCGCGTGCTGCCCATGGTGCCTGCACCGCCTGGCTCCTCGGCCGCCGCGGCCCGGGGTGCCGCCTGCTCCTCGCTGTCTTCGTCCTCCTCAAGCTCCATCACGTGTCCGCAGTGCCACCGCAGCGCGTCCCTGGACCACCGAGGCCTGCGCGGCTTCCAGCGCAATCGGCTGCTCGAGGCCATCGTGCAACGGTACCAGCAGGGCCGCGGGGCGGTGCACGGGGCGTCCGCAGCCGCTGCAGTGGCCATCTGCCAGTTGTGCGACCGCACCCCGCCGGAACCGGCCGCCACGCTATGCGAGCAGTGCGACGTGCTCTACTGCGCTGCCTGCCAGCTCAAATGCCATCCATCCCGCGGACCCTTCGCTAAGCATCGCCTCGTGCAGCCGCCGCCACCACCCGCGCCTGCCGAGGCCGCCTCAGCATCCCCAGGCGCGGCCCAGGGCGCCCCCAGCGGAGGCGGCGGCTGCAAGAGCCCGGGGGGCGCCGGGGCGGCGGGGGGCAGCGCGGCCCGCAAGTTCCCTACGTGCCCCGAACACGAAATGGAGAACTACAGCATGTACTGCGTGAGCTGCCGAACCCCGGTGTGCTATCTGTGCCTGGAGGAGGGCCGTCACGGCAAGCACGAGGTGAAGCCGCTGGGAGCCATGTGGAAACAGCACAAGGTGAGCGCAGGCTGGGCGGGGCGGGGGCGCACAGGTGCAAAGAAGAAGGTGCGAGAAGGGTGCCTGGCCTCTTCCCTGGAGAGTTGGCAGAAGGCAGGATTTACTTCATTCATTCATTCCCTCATCATTTATTTGACAAACGCTGAAATGAATCCAGATACTCTGAACCAGGTGTGGGGAAGGAGAAGAGCGTGGAAAGATGACTTAGGTGATCCCCTTCCCCCTGACAGTGTATGATTCTGCAAAGAGGGCACCCAGAATGCAGAAGCAGAGCTTTTTCATTCCCAAAGTTGACAGCCCTTCCGGAATTATGACATTCAGGGCCCCCTTCCTCAGTGAAAAAAGATTTTTAAAATGCAAGTGTTCCCACCCACTTGCAGGAAAATGTCTGAAGTTTCCCCACTCTTGGTTCATCTTCCCTGAAGGCAGCAAGGATTCTATCCTAGCCATCAGTGAGAGGACACACTAATTCCTACAGAGCAGAATTCCCCTCAGCTTCCAGAGGAGAAACTTGGCTACTTTCTCAAGAAGTCTCCAGCACTTTCTAGCCCCAGAATGCCTCTGGGGAAGACATAATTCCTCGTGGGCCTTATTTGAGAATTTGGGTGTGTGCCCTTTTAAGAAGGGAGCATCATTTCCCCCCCAGAGACTTTGCCTTGCTGGGGCTCTGCCCCTAATGGCAGCAGAAGTATGGGGGCCCTGGAGAGCAAGCCATACTTTCCTCTGCAGGCTGCTGCAAGCCTTCTTCCCCAGTGACTTGCCTGGGGCTGCCACCTCCCTAGTGAAAATGGAACAGACTCTAAGTGCCAACTCTTGCCTGTCAATGTGTCCTTGGTACCTGTCCCTGGGAGGGAAAATCCTCAATATCAGGTCACATCCTTGTTCAGGTTCCCAGGCAAGAGTGGGGTCAGTTTTACTAATGAATTTTCACCTTAATTTTCTATCCAAAGGCCAAGCCATACAACTGGACTCACAGGTACCCGAGGTCAATGATTCTGGCCTAACAGAGTTAGAGTCCCTTGTCTGATGAACACAACTATATCTGCAAATTTGTACACTTATCATTCAATATCCTCTTTCCAGTAAACTCTCACTCCCCAAAGAGGCAGAGGTCTCTGAATGGCCCATCAGGAACTATGTATTCTGCTTGAGGAGGAAAGACATGGGAAAATAAGCAATTTGCCATGCTTACCTTGCATCATCCAACTGGAAATGGACAAAAAAGGTAGCATAGATCAGAAGAGAAGGAACTAAGCATTCCTCTTACAGATTTGCTGTATTTAGTTACTATATCATTTCATCTGCTACAGTGTGTGTGCTATTATTATAATTTAACATTTTCAAATAAAAAATCAGAAAAGAAATGGGGAAAACATCAGACATCCACCTTGGAGTAGGAAATTTGCAGAAGAGACATCATTTCACAAATAAAATCTTTTGCAAAAAGGCTGTGATCAGTTATCAAGACAAGAGGTGTAGGTTCACATTCAGATTTCACAAGCTCTTACATTTTCACAGCCTAGAGGCCAGAATTAACTCTAGGTGTTGCCATCTAAATCTTTAGGCTTAGTGGAGAGTGGAAACCAACATGAATTGAGAGGAGCATGCAATCTTAAAAGAGACTAAGATTCTTGCCAGGAAAAGTAAGTTGGATAATGATCTATGGTTTCGAGAACCAAGATTATGCAGGAAAAAAAAATCATTGGTCATCCCTCCCTTGGTATCCATAGCACTTTTAGAACATTTCTATCCTCAACCAACAATGCAAAGTTATGAGGAAATATTTTAAGCAGGTGATATTTGCTCAACAGAGTGGGAAAGTTATATGTGGGAAACAGGACAACGCAGAGTCTGGTGTCTCAGTTTTATATGCAATGCCACAGCTTCAAGGAACTAAGACATCCTCCCAAATCCAGAAGGAATGATGTGAGATACTTTTCAAGAATGAATAGAAGTTCTCCTGTTATCTTTTAGCAGGTGCTATTCTTCTACAGAAAGGACAGTTGTTGAATGCTTACTATGAGCAGCTCGACGAGGGGCTAGGGAGCACAAGTGGAATGTTCGGTCTGGTTTTGTGGACAGGCTTCTAGACCTCCACTGTGAGGGTAGCTACTTTTGAAAGAGAAACTGGAACACTCAATTTCACATGCCCACTGGGACAGTTTAAGTTCAGTGAAACTTAAAGCCTCTGTTATTATCATCCAAAAATCCCAGCAGCCATGACAAAGCCTTGCGGTACTACCAGAACTAGATTTGGGACAGAAACACTTCCCTAACATGCCTGACTGCAGAAGCCTTCATTAAGGCCCTGCTCTAATTCCTCCCAAGCGTGACCAGAGTTTGTCATCTAATTAGTGATTTTTTAGCAAAGAGACATCTAAGTGACACTGAAATCTATTTTAAAACAGGTTGATTATCACCTTTTGAAAACAGTGTAAAAACTTTAGGTTTAGGGGCGCCTGGGTGTCTCAGTGGGTTAAAGCCTCCGCCTTCAGCTCAGGTCATGGTCTCAGGGTCCTGGGATCGAGCCCCACATCGGGCTCTCTGCTCAGCGGGGAGCCTGCTTCCCTTCCTCTCTCTCTGCCTGCCTCTCTGCCTACTTGTGATCTCTGTCAAATAAATAAATAAATAAAATCTTTTAAAAAAAACTTTAGGTTTGGGCTATACACATTTTTATGAATTCAATTTCTTATTGAAGTATAATTGGCATACGATATTCTATTAGCTTCACATGATTCGACATTTATATACATTGTGAAATGACCACCACAATACATCTAAATTACCATCTGTCCCCATACAAAGTTAATACAATACTATTGACTGTATTGCCCCAGCATGTACATTATATCCTCATGACTTAGTTATTTTATAACTGAAAGTTTGTATCTCTTGATTCCCTTCACTCATTTCACACACACCCAAACCCCTTCCTCTCTGGCAACCACCCCTCTGTTCTCTGCATCTATAAGTCTGGGTTTTCTTTAGTTTATTTGTTTTGTTTTTTAGAATCCACTTATAATGAAATCATGTGGTAGTAGTCTTTCTCTGACTTTTCTTTCTTTTTTTTTTTTTTTTGAAGATTTTATTTGACAGAGAGAGAGAGAGATCACAAGTAGGCAGAGAGGCAGGCAGAGAGAGGGAAGCGAGCTCCCTGCTGGGCAGAGAGCCCCATGTGCAGAGAGCCCCATGTGGGGCTCGATCCCAGGACCCTGAGATCATGAGCTGAGCTGAAGGCAGAGGCTTATTCCACTGAGCCACCCAGAAACCCCTCTCTGACTAATTTCACCGAGCATAATACCCTCAAGGTCCATCCATGTTGGCAAAAGTGGCAAAGTCTCATTCTTTTTATGGCTGAGTAATATTTGCACGCGTGTGTGTGTGCACGTGTGCGTGTACCACATCTTCTTTATCCATTCATCTATTGATGGACCCTTGGGTTGCTTCTATATGTTGGTTATTGTAACACATTTTTAGATGATTCTTCTGGAAAAGGATTAATCATTTCAAAGAACCTCTGATGTGAAGAAACATGTTGTGAAAGATAGGACACAGAGGGGAAGCTTTCAGGAGAGCTTCTGTCTTTTTGCCTATTCATGATGGAACTCTAATTGTCCTGAAGCAGGGGGAAAGGATCATTGTGAACTCTTTCTCTCCCATAGAGTGACATGTCACAGAATGTCAACCAAGTCTTCCGTAACATCTTCTGGGTCCAAATGGTTAACTCTGAAATCAAAATGAGTAGAAACTGGGGCACCTGGGTGGCTCAATCCTTAAGCATTTGCTTTTGGCTCAGGTCAAGCATCTGCCTTCAGCTCAGGTCATGATCTCAGGGTCCTGGGATCAAGCCCCGCATCAGGCTCCCTGCTCAGCGGGAAGCCTGCTTCTCCCTCTCCCACTCCCCCTGTTTGTGTTCCCTCTCTCGCTCTCTCTCTCTGTCAAATAAATAAAATCTAAAAAAAAAAAAAATTAAAAAAATTTAAAATGTAAAATGGGTAGAAACTGATTCCTGAACTGAGGTATAAAATGCAGGATAAATCCTTCTTTAGAAACCTTTGGAGAACCCTGGAAAATAAGAGAGTATTAAAACGAAATCTTGTGGGGCGCTTGGGTGGCTCAGTGGTTTAAAGCCTCTGCCTTCGGCTCAGGTCATGATTCCAGGGTCCTGGGATCAAGCCCCACATTGGGCTCTCTGCTCGGCGGGGTCCTGCTTCCTCCTCTCTCTCTCTCTGCCTGCCTCTCTGCCTACTTGGGATCTCTGTCTGTCAAATAAATAAATAAAGTCTTAAAAAAAAAAAAAAGGGGGCGCCTGGGTGGCTCAGTGGGTTAAGCCGCTGCCTTCGGCTCAGGTCATGATCTCGGAGTCCTGGGATCGAGCCCCGCATCGGGCTCTCTGCTCAGCAGGGAGCCTGCTTCCTCCTCTCTCTCTGCCTGCCTCTCTGCCTAGTGATCTCTCTGTCAAATAAATAAATAAAATCTTTAAAAAAAAAAAAAAAAAAAAAAAAAAAGAAATCACCCTGAATAAGGTCCAGTACATTAAAAAAATAATAATAATAAAAATAAACAAAATCTCGTTGATACCCTAGGATTACCGTTCCTAATGAGTCATCACTTCACAAGAGCAAAGGAGGTGATGAGGTCTGGAAATCTCAGGGAAAACAAGATGTCAGGCTCCTCTCATGTCCTGAGGTTCTGCCAAAGGGCACGTGGCTTCACAGCACTGTGTTCCTACCTTGTTTTATAAAAGGGATAAGGAAAGGCATTTCCCCTTTAGAGCCTCAGAGGAAAGATTCCTCCATTAAAAGAAAAACACAAAAATAAGAAAGGCAGAACATGTAATCATGGCTGAACTATGATCAGAAGTACACTTACTTGAAATCTGGTAGTACATTCTAATTTGGAGACAAAAATAATTTCTGCTTTAGGTTTTTCTTGTAGAATTCTATCATACATTTGTGTCTTCTTTTTCTTTAATAATACGATATAAATATATTTTCTGT